ATATAGTCACTGCAAGTGACATTGGCAACTAAGAAATTGTCACTCTGTTTTTCATTGTTTTACAAATCTACAAAGTTTTGAAAGTGGATGGATTATGGACCTTGTAAAGAGAGGNTTTGCCATGTATGCAATATTTGCTCGATACGTAAGTAAATCAAGTTTACGTCACCTAGTAACTATAATCAGATCACAGGTGTTATAAGAGAACAAACACGTGTCAAAGACCATTGTTTAAGAAAGCATTCGTCCTGGATCGAGCAAACCGAAAATTGCTTTAGACAAGCAATAAGAAAAACCGTTCCGAATACCAATTAAAAATAGGTGATAATTTTTATGGTTGTTATATTTCCGTGACAGTTATCATAAAATCCTTGTTTGTGTAGTTAATAAAGTTAATAAAGAAATACTTTATATATAGGGTTTTGTTGCAAATTAAGATAACTTATAATTATTTTGAAGCTTATATTTCAAAAAATTGTTTGCTAACAAGTAACAATTCTTTTGTTTTCATGAAATTAAAATTTTATAAATTACCTTACATTGTATCTATATATTCATTGATTCTACTACCATATTGTACTATTACAACAGTTGCATAACATACAATTAATTTCTGTTTTTTCTTGCCGTTAATTAAATTGTATGATTTTTTTCAGGTATACACGACCAGACACGTGTCGAAGTGTAATACAAACTGCTGCTTTTCGTTTACTTAATGCTACAAGGAGTAAAAAGAGACATGTCCATCTATTTCAGAAATTCAGTATTTTTTGAATGGTCAAGAGAATTTTGGATTTGCAGTTATTTATGCAAACACTCTCAGGTATTATACAGATGCATTAAAAATTAGATTATGAAATTATAATGTAAGATAAAATGATGGAACACTTTGCCTATTTTTATACTAATACAATGTAATATCATAACAATTTAACTATTGCATTTTTCTTATAATTTCATTGAAATCATCAATATTTATTAAAATTATGTTTGTCAACAGTGATCAATAACATTGCTCAACACTAACTTCAAAAGACATTGTATACATTATCATTGTTACCGATGCTACGAATAATTAATTGTTTTTTTCATCTTATTTACTGATTAGAGAACATTATTCAATCGTTCCTTTATGGCTTTGGTAAGACTTTAGAGATTTTTAGAAGATTCTAAACCAAGAAATACAAGTTATATTACAATAAATGATCATTTTATNAAGCTTGACAAAAACGTTAAAACGAATTCTTCTATCTTATCTCTAATCTTATCATTTAAAAAGTTTGTCTTCTAATATTTTAAATCAGATGTCAATAGTTATAACTATTTTCATTTGAACTACTGTACTATGTATTACTACTGTTACATTTTACACCGTATATTCGGAATATTATCATTGTCTACTTAATTATTATTTCTAAACTTAAAGTGATAATAAAATGCAAGAAG